TCACTGCGTCTGAAGAATTTTCCCATCAGAGAGCCTAAAAGGAAAATTCACTAGCTGGTCACTGACATTTTTATTTTATAGAAACGAGGAGAAAAAATCCCAAAAAATCTGGAATAATGAAGTAACCATTCTTCCTAGAATCTTTGCGATTCGTTATACTGAACAAGACATATTCGAAGAGATTTCCTAGGGGACGCCCATTCAATTATTAGAACTGACGATTTGAATCTGAGAATTAGGAAAATTCAGAAATGAAATGAGATATGCGAGGAACCATAGCCACTCCAATCAGAGTCTCAGAGCGTATAATTATATAGGGTGAGTCAAAAATGTGTACCGATCTATCTGGAGCTGATAGCACTTTGGAAAATAAATATAGTTTGGTGATTACATCAATAGCCCAAAATGTATATTGAGAAAGATATATCCTTCTATAGTTGATGAGATTGGAATAATTCTCCTGCATAACTTCTGAACTGTGGAATCCACCAGATTGGAATCCCCTACATGAATTTATGTTGATAAGAGTCATTTTTCTGATGCACTTCAATATTTCTATATTGTCTTGAACAAAACTTCATTGTATGTGACTTGAATGATGTTTCTTTGGAAGATGAAGGAACTAGTTTCATTTTGAGAAGACATGTATTCTTAACCACTAAGAGCACGTTACAGTTTATTGGATGTTATGTATCCTCAATCCAACACAATTACTTTGCTCATCTGAAAACAAGAATAGCTAGTTATTTTCGAAAAACCGGCAAAAGACTTTTTAAAAAACGTTTATTATGTTTACTGGACAAGGTATAATATGGTCAAAATCGTTGGAAAAATGAATTATACATGTACCTATGTATGTATGTATATTTATTTATTTATGTCGGTTGATCTTGAGGAACGAAATATGAATCTGCTGAGCTCGCTGCTTTCCGGGAAACGGCCTGGGAAGTGTTGTACCCAGAGATTCACGGCTTGACTTGATATTCAAGCTACCTGACTTGACTTGACTTGAAATCAAGTCAAGTTCAAGTCAAGCGAAAGTTTTTTAATGTCAAGTTAAGTCAAGTAATTATTTATCAAGTACTTGAAAGATCAAGTAGTTCTATCAAGCTACTTGATTTTCAGCAGTTTTATTGTGTATCTATACAGCGTGACTCACGGTCGATGTTATAGGTTAGACGTTTATGGAGAACGCGACGCGGGATTTTTCTGAAAATTTCGCATACACAAAAAATTCCTGAAGTTGAAAAATCTCGATTTTTCGCACTCTATATCTCCATAATTTTTTCCGCTATACCCCGAGTGTGATGTATCGATGAAATCAACTCTTCAAGGAGAATCTGAAAATGCAATAAAATACAGGGTGTTCAATTCGAAATAACAAAGTGGTTCCTACTTTTCTATAGAAGCGGCAACGTCGTGATTTTGAAAATATATTAGATCGACAGTACCGGTGATGAAATGTGAGATGCGAAATTTTCAGAGAAATCCTGCGTTGCGTTCCTATCATAAACGTGAACGTCTAACCTACCATCGACCGTGAGTCACCCTATATATAACTGATGAAATGAAAATGACATCGTAAGACTGACTGCGCGATCGATTCAGTCAGCTCGAATCTCGGGAAACCCCCGTATTTTGTCTGAGCGTGAGCGAGCTTGCAGAAATATACGCCGTGCGACTCGTGCGTATCGAGATCAAGTATTATCAAGTGGCTTGATTTCAAGTCAAGTAATAAATATCTCAAATTCAAGTCAAGTCAAGTACGTAATTTGCCACGAGCTTGATTTTCAAGTCAAGTCAAGTAGTTTGTTGAAATATCAAGCTACTTGACTTGATGAATCTCTGGTTGTACCTAGCTCGGTACCGTGGGACCGCTCGATGTAACTGGCTAAAGAGTGTATTAGATAATTGATTTGCCTTCCTTTGAGAGAATGTTGAACTAACCTCAAGAAGTTTTATATTTGATTGTGGCTTTTATGTTAACATCGAGATGAAATTATAGCAATTTTTCAATTAAAACAATTAATCTTCAATGTAAGAACAATACTCTTGATCGAATAGTTGCATTAATTGCATTGAGAATAGCTATTACTTATGGGTAGGATCATAGAAATCTCGAATGAATATTGGATAAAATTCCACCCAAGAAGATGTCTTACTTCAAATATCTTATTCTTGGAAGGAATAAATTATACTTGGAAGAAGTCTAAGGAATTATCAATGATGGAATGCAGGGCGTTGCAAGTCGCGTTGTTGGTCATTTTATGTTTTAGGACAGTAGAATTTTTTAGCGGCGTCCTGTGTGTGTCTTGCGATTCCATTGTTTAATTTGGTAATCTCACCAGTTAGATATATTGAAAGATGAAAGAGATCCTCCGTGAATGGGGATTGGAAGTGATGATTCCAGAGACTATATGGAATTGGATAAAGAAGAAGTTCACGATATAGTGTGTCCCACTCACCATGCTCACCATGGGTATCTTTTTAACGGTGAGAGATACGAGGTCGGTTGAATGACACCAAATGTGGAGTTTGTCAAGGCCAACTATAATGAGAAAAAAATTTTCGATAAAATCTATTCGTTTTTGTTTTATACGCAAAAAACAGATTTTGATCATTTTCATGTCTCCTTCGTAACTTCTTTATTTATGAAAATATTCAAATAGGAATTTCATATTCTCATGACAGTTTTTTAAAGTGATTTCGAATAAAATATGAAATTTATACCAACTCTTCTAGAATTCGAGATATCAGCACCAACTTTAGTTTTTCAAATGTATGTCATAGCTCACTATGACTTAGTTATAAATAAATAAGTTTTTTTTCTCTTACAGATGATATGTCGCAGTGATAGAATTGTGTTGATAACAACGGAGTTATCGTCATTCATACAAAAACAAAAAATTATTTGGAAGCCGCCATCTCGATTTTCGATGGAGGGGGGCACCTTTTGACGCAAAATAAATAATGCATACTTGAACCCTCTACTCCCCAGAGCAAACCCTTAAATAGTTTGAAAAGGGAACAAGGGTCGTGTTATACACCATTGCGAAGGTGATTCAATTCTGAAACTAGCAGTGGAAAGTTTCTTGAATTCCAACAAGTCGTTCTCAAGATATTCGAGTTCGAATGGTATGTTTTCAAATTGTGACTAAATGGAAGTAAATGATAGATTATTACAGAAGATTTTCAGAATGACCTCCAACTACTTCCAGACAGTGGTACGGTCTATTTGAAAATTCTTTTTGTCATTCTTCTCTCCAAATCATTGTGTTCAGTATATTGGTTCCGTTTCATGAATGACCGATTGTGAATTACCCCATAGAAAGAAATCATTGGGTTCCAAGTCAAGCAGACGTGCTATCCATTCTATTGGTCCTCTACGGACCTCTATGATGATGGTTATCGAAATCTATTGGCAGATGATATTTATTATCAACAACAAAATGTGTCACCTCATTTCGTAGCACAGGTGAGAGAATGGCTACACCAAAATTTCCCAAACAAATAGATAGGTCGTGAAGAACCATTTCTAGCACGCTCGCCGGACATGGTACCCAATGACTATTTTTTTTGAGGTCATCCGAAATCGGTTACTTATCAAACGGAATTTACTATGATCTGGACGATAAGTCGAAAAGAATTAGAGTTGAATACCAGGAAATAACTAGAGAAGCATGTCAAATGCGCAAAAGGTATTCACAAATAGATTTTACCACTGTCTGGAAGTCAATGAGAGTAATTTTGAACTTCGATGTTGATAACCATTCAATAATTCATTCCGTCCATTCAATTACTCGCAATTGGAAAACATACCATTTGAACTCTGATATCTCGAAAACGACTAGCTGGAATTCAAAAAACTTGAAATTGAATTACTTTCGCAATGATGAAAACACGACCCTTATTTCAAATTATTGAGGGGGTCGGTCTGGGGAGAAGAGGGTTGAAGTATGAATTATTCATTTTGCGTCAAAAGGTGTCCCCCTCCATATAAAAATCAACCTATTTCGTTATTTTTTTGTGAAATAATAATTCTGAGAGATATCGAGAGTGGATGTTCTTAAATGGGCCACTAGGTACCTACCTATAAGCGATGGAAAAATGAATATACTAATGAGTGAACTTTTCCGAGACAGCACATTTCAGGAACTCATGGAAATAATTAAAAATTTGTGGAGTTAGTGATAATAGGTACACATACCTACCTATAATATATGAATAGAAAATACCGTGAAATGCGTTGCGTCAGATGTAAAAAAATATCTGCATCATACTCATTATTGAAACCTTATTTGCCTTGACTACAAAAAAAGTATAAAAACGTTCGTGGCAACGTGCTAAGGTCAAATTTAATATCGAGTAGCATCGAACAAGAGTAGGTACTTGGTGGTCTACTTGGTGATATAGGTTCGATGCGAGGTATCAAGAATTGGAATACTTTCATATTGGATCTGCCATCTTCAATTTCAAAATTCTTACATAGAAATCATAATCTCTGATCTTGATCGAAAACCCGCAAATACAAATTTTAAATAGATTCGGATCTTTATGAAAAAACTAGTTCGCCATATTGGATCTGCTATCTCTAATTTCCAAAAGTTTGACGACAGGGAACAAAACTCGTCCGCCATTTTGAAGCCGCCATTGCGTTTTTTCGTCGAACAAGAATTTCATGATGCATTGTCACCCGAACTTAGTACACCTGCCAAATTCAATATAAATCGTTCCCTTCAAAGTTGGTCAAAATTGAGTTCAAAGGAGTCGGTTACATACATACATACACACATACATACATACATACAAACAGGAGGAGCTAATAAGAGAGTGTTGAAAAAGATGAAATTTATTACTCAAGTCCGTTTCTTGTGTTCAAAACTGTTGTTTTATTATCATTCACCAACTTGGTAATGATAAATGCATTGGTAAGATGTCTATTATCTCCTCCACGATTCATTTGACTAATCATTTTCTATAATTTGACCACATGTTTCCAGGAATAGGTTACGAAACAGCTTTGGATTTCGCCCGAAGAGGAGCACGAGTGATTCTAGCATGTAGAGACGAACAAAAAGCTGAAGTCGCAAGAGAAAAAATCATTCAGGCAACACAAAACCAAAATGTAGTAGTACGATTGATCGATTTCGCATCCTTGGAATCAGTGAGAGAATTTGCGAAAGAAACGATAAAAACCGAGAAACGTCTGGATATTTTGGTCAATAATGCAGGTGTTGGTGACCTACCAAATGTATTAACTGAAGATGGGTTACAGATATTGATGCAAGTGAATTATTTCGGTCCAGTTCTATTGACTCTGCTGCTCTTAGGTAAATCATTCAATGGACATTTTCTCGTATACAAGGTGTTTCCTGAATTGGGGCAATAAATGCAATGTATGATAGTTAGAAGTTGTAGTTAGGTGGATACGCATGTTTTTCAAAATCGTCTCCAATTAGATTTTTATTTTTCGTGTTATTTTGTCTCATAGAAAATGTCATTTCATTTTTATTACCTTGATTACGGAAACGTCGTTTCATTTATTACCTCGATTACGGAAACAACTTGTATATAAGGGTTTCGAAGAGTGAAATTGTCACAGGCAGAGGATTGATGCAATACACCTCTGGTGCGAACGCACTTCAATCCTTTCCTGCTTTACAATTCCTTGATTTTTGCCTACTTCGATGATTATAACCATGACGTGGCTTAGCCAACACAAAGAGGTCTTAAAGATATCTCGGCAACCTCCTCCCAGGAAATTTTGATGCCTTTCATTACTTCTTCGAGCGGTTGCCGAGAGTATTAATTTTGCTTCAAATGTCTGCCGCTGGGATATTCTCAACGATTGCCCTTGGTGCGATCTCCAAGAACAAAAATATTCGAGATATTCGCATACATAGCCTGTGGCGAGAACTTCAGGAGATTCGCATCAATTACTACTGACGAGGTTTTTTTTTATCGCTTGGAGCGCACGAAACGGAATCCCTATATAGGTCTTTACGTGTTCGCAACTAGGAGTTATTTAAGATATTCTCACACATTGCAGTGAAAAATTTGAGAGATTTGCGTCAATTTACTCGCAGCTATTATACGAGTGAACCAAGGAATTGCGAAAAATGTTCCTCTCGAGGTATCTGAGAGTTCGCATCACGAACTGTTCAAGACATTCTCATGAGTATCATTTGGCGAGTTTCTCGAGATACCCCTGTTATTATTTGAGTTACCAAGGATTTTCGTGGTATTCATGGGCTACCAGCAGTCGGCTGTCGGCATAGTGTACCTAGCACTTGCTGTTGTGAATCTAGCTAAGAAGAATTTACCATTTTGTTCCAGCTAGGGAACTCCGTAAGTTGAAGCTCACGGGCTCCAGCGCTTATGAAATTGAATTATATAACATAGTAGATAGGTTTGTGATGGTGATTGATCAAATATGCAAGATCAGGTATCAAAACAGATTATTTATCTTCATGAACAATTCCCTGACCCAAAACCCTACATTTTATTGTTACATTATTATCATCTTGAAGATAAATTTTTTTCCGGGAAAGTGGAGGAAATGTCTTCTAGGAATATTGGAATCATACTAGTTTTCACCTACCCTCATGAGTACATATGGTTGAGAGGAAGTTACAGAGCGTTGAGGTTCATCAGGCCGATAGGTAGGTACAGGTTTTACGCAATATCTCAGTTTGTATATGTGCCAAAATATATTTTTCTCTCTCAACTTCTTATATCTGATTATGGAAAGGATCATATATCAGATGAGTCAATAGTGTGTTCTCCTTCGATATTACTGAACCGTCAGACATCTTCCTTACGACCCAAGTTATGAATGTCCACAGATGCATCCTGAAAATAAATTTTTAGCTAGTTTTTTATTAATTTTTTCTTCATTATTCAACTAGGTACCTATGAGTTTTCTCATTTTCCTGTGAGATCAGCATTTTTGGTAACAAATGCTTAGGAAATGAGAATATACTGAGTACAGCATCTGGTTCCAATAACTCAGAGTAGGAGTCGTTTTATACGGACTGCTAATTTTGTCGCATGACCATGAACATCAAATTTTGATGCAATTTTCATATTTTATGATTCGCATACATTTTGCGGAATTCGTACAAGCATAAACATATCTCTACTGTTCACGAAATCCTAATGAAAAAGCTCGAACTCCAGTCACCCTGTTTATCAATTTGCAGATTTACTGAAAAAGACCCGTCCAAGCCGAATAGTTAATGTTTCGTCACTAGCAGCTAAATGGGCGAGACTGGAACCAGAACATTTGAACCATTGGTCTAAATTACTGATCTACAGCAATAGCAAATTGGGTAATTTGTTGTTCACCATCAAATTAGCATCTGTATTGGGGAATTTCGGTGTCAGTGTTTTCTCAGTGCACCCAGGAATTGTGAAAACTGAAATCATGAGAACGTTGCCACGTCTCGTTAGAAAAGTGATCGACTTTTTCGCAGGTATATTCATGAAGGTAAGATATCTTGGTATGCTATTCCATAAGGAAACATATTTTTTACGTCGACGGGAGTGGAAGTTAGTTTCTCTGGTAACAAAGGAGGGGCAGAAGTCTCGTATCATTCTCTAGGGAGATGATGTGACTTATTTTCTCGCTGTGAAGTTTATACCAACATTAAAGTTTCCGCATAGCTCTGCGCCTTCTTTTCGGAACACCCTCATCTGAAGCGAGTATAAGCTGCATGATACAGATACCTAGATCTCACTGGTAGCAAGTTGAGAATCACTGCAGAAGCAGTATCAATAGTTTCTTGGGGTTTTTCCTCGATTTCTTGTTCCATAATCTCAAACCATTTCCAAAGCTGTTTTCATAAATTTCAATTTCAAATTGATATTTGCTATCACCATGGGTTGTCAACAAGGTGCATGTTCTCATGTTACGAATTCCACAAACTATACTACTAGTCATTAGGACAAAATACTTTAACCAAATATTCTTTCTTTCTTGATTTTTGTATTTTCGCTAGCGTAAAATATAGTATATACACCTCAGCATAGAATGCTATTTTTCCCTTAGTGCTTTGTATATCTCGGACTTCGCCCTCGAGCTACAAATCGCAACTTGAAAAAGTCTTGCATTTCTGTCCCTTGATGTATAATGTACTATTTTTTTATGTGATGGAAAAAAGTTTGAAATTCCATCTCTAATGACAGGTTATAAAATGTCACTTTTCATAAATTACTTTTTTCCCACAAGAGAAATATACATTTTTCCGGGATATATCACATATTTAAATACTGTTGTTGAATTTTGTTGTTCTATAGTTCCAAAAAATAAGCCAATAACTTCGTCTCTGAGGAAGTACTGCGAGTCCTTTCACCTTCCATTCGACTCCGTGATTACTCAAAAACTAAACAATCACTAAATTTGCAATTTTTCAAAACCTATCCACAGAATGGGACTGACAGATATTTTGATTACTCCAAAAGAATGATGAAGATATCTGCAACGCAAGTATCATTCCTGTTGAAAACTCAAAATTTCAGGTCGATAATTTTCTGATTTCAATATAATGTAATATCTTCTCTATATTGGTTCGTTCTTTCTCCTGTTACAGAAAGAAACAGTGTATTATACACAGAAAAATATTAGATTTTTTGCTCACGGTTTTTTTGTCTCCCTCCGCTGAAGCTTAAACCTTGTACTAGTCCTATCTGTATAATAATAATCAATTCTACAAGTATTCAATTGATTCTCAACGAGCGGAAGGTTATTGAGTTGAGGACAACGGTTCTTGAGTTTGCAACGAACGAACAGTAATGAATCTTCCTAGTGACCAGTTTGTTCAAAAAACCTGACACCAATATAATTCTGTGTGGGGATTTCAACGTGAATTTTCTGATTGATTCGCGAAAACGAAGCATGCTGGTCGCATTATTAGCTACATTTAATTTGACCCATACAATTCATACACCTACAAGAATACAAGAAGCAAGTCAAACGTGCATTGATAATATATTTACCAATGTGAAATTCATTGAAGGAACAGTGAGAGAGTCTGGGCTATCTGACCACACAGAACAAACGATCGTAATTGAAATCAACAGAAACCTAGAACAATTAAGATTCAGAAAAATATATTCTGGTAAACATATAACTAAGTTCAATGATATGCTAGCTGAAAGACTAACACATATCAACTTCAACGATCACTCAATTTGTATAGAGGACAAATTTTCTTTGTTCATCATGAACATCAGTGGAACTTTTGACAAAAATTTCCCACTCAAAAAACTCAACATCAGGCATAACAATTGGTGCACACCAGGAATAAAACGTGCCAGTAAAACTAAACGATTATATCTGTCGATAGTGAATGAAATGAACATAAAAAATAAGATTTTGGCAGGGAAATTTTTATAAGGCATGTCAACAAATATTGCACATTATTGTATAAAGTTGTGAGGATAGCCAAGAGGAGGTCATGTAAAAAAGAAATCATGTGAAGTGACAACAAAATGAAAACAATGTGGCAGATTGTGAAAAATGAGACCAGAAGAACAGGAAATGAACAAGAAATAGAAGATGAAATGATTTTGAATATACAAGATGAACAAATAAGAGATAAAAAAGGTATAGCAAACTGTTTGAATAACTTTTTTCTGAATGTGGTAGAAACAAATGAGGTTGATGATGAAAGTAGGGAAAATATAAAAAGCTACTTATGTATTCACTCGCATCGGAATGATACAACTTTTGTATTATCTGAAACCACGACAAATGAGGTAATTGAAACATGCATGGGTTAAAAAAATGAATACTCAAGTAGTTGGGATGAAATATCATCAGTTTTTTCAAAAAAAATTATAACAAACATATCTGAACTTTTAGCATTCCTCATAAATGAATCGTTTCTTCATGAAATGTTTTCTCAGATTCTGAAGTGTTTTGAAGTTATACCTATTCTGAAGGATGGCGATAAAACAAACCCCAATGATTATAGACCAATATCTCTTATTTTGATTATTGCAAAATTAGTTGAGAAGATAATGTACAAGAGACTCAATAAATTCATAATAGATTCCAAGATTCTTTGCGAAAATGGTTCTGTAACAGGACAGACCACGATCTCTGCAATGTTTTCAGTAACAAAAGAAATAATATCAAGCATAAATCAAAATGTATTCGTTGTGGGTCTATCATGTGATTTTCGCAAAGCATGCGATTGGTTCAACTTTGAGATAATCCTAAAGGAGTTAGAGCACTATGGAATAAGAGATGTGGGAATTAGTTGGTTCAAGTTCTATCTCGTAGGAAGATGTCAACGTGAAAGGGTAATGTGTGGAAATCATGAATCCATAGTTTCTGACTGGGGAACCACTTCATCAGGAGTGCCACAGGAGTCTGTCCTAGGGCCTCTTTTATTCTTACTATATATAAATGACCTGCCTGCTAGCAAAAAGCTACGGAACACCTGCTTTTGTTTACAAATATTAAAATTGAAACATATTCAAATTGAAACATATTGAAACTGAGGTTCTGAGAATTGTGTATGAGGCAAATTTCGTTTCAAGACTTCGATATAGAGTAATGCATTGGGGATCTTCGACTATCTGCCAAATTTTATTCATAATTCGAAAATATGCAGTCCGCATAATGCTTGGCCTTGAAATGAGAGAATCGTGTCGCCCACATTTTATAACCTTGAATATTTTAACCTTACCAAGCCTATATATTCTAGAAATATTATTATTTGTGCATAGAAATAAACAAGAATTCAACTTCTCAAATGCAAAGACGAGACAAAATAATAACACTATTCTGCTCCCGCAGAACAATACAGCTCTCTATCAGAAAAGTGCAATGTTTGTTGGTGCTTAATTCTATAATAAACTACCAATATCATACATAAGCTTGAGTGTATCAGTGTTCAAAAAATGAATTAGGAAATTATTAATTGGAAAATGTTATTACAGTGTAAATGAATATATGGAAGATAACGACTTATAAATGATCATAATTGTAATTACATAAAAAAAATATATGAATGAAAATATAGTACATGAATGCACTGTGACTGATAGGATACTCATAGATAGGATAGAAGTAAGGTTACCTCTCATAGATACTTCCTTCAGATCAATATCTTATAGATGATAAATTTATATTTGAATGAATTATAACGTGACCAAATTTCTACAACATGTAATATGTTTCAGAAATAAATACTCTCTATTTCTATTTCTATATACTCTTCAAAGTTTATCCAAGCTTTTGGAAATGTTTATTTCCATCATCAGGAATACAACAATGATTACGAAGTGTAAATACATTGGAAAACACTATGCCTCTTATGTTTCAAGAAGGTCGTTACATCATTTTATTGATGTCATCACAGGAAAATAGTTTTGAGAAGAAATTCTAATAGATATCAGCTGTGACAACCACTTGAATAGCTGATGATGAAAATATGATAATATGATAATGATATTTTGGAATATTTGGTACACGAAAAGGTCGAGCCCAAGAAATTCATAACCAGCTATCTAACAGATAGGAAACAAGTAGTAAAACTCCAAAGAAATAAATCGCACATGGAGAATAACACAACAGGTGTACCACAAGGCTCGGTTTTGGGTCCTATTCTTTTTCTGCTTTATCTGAATGATCTGGTAACCGTTGACATCAAAGGGAAGTTCACATTTTTTGCAGACGATACCACCATCCTTTGGCGTGGGACAAATGAAGATAATCTCAGAGAGAACATAACTTTTGATCTCTATAAAATTAAGCAGTGGTGTGATTCAAACTCCTTATGTTTCAACGCAAATAAAACAAACCTAGTCTGCTTCAAGTTCAGTTTCGACGACTTACTTATAGAAAATCACGCTATTGTGAACAAAACGCACACAAAGTTTTCAGGGGTATTTATAGATGGAAAATTAAAATTTGATAAGCATGTAGAAAACTTATGCAAAAAAATAGCATCTGGCTGTTATGCAGTTCGAGTTGTTTCAAATAAACTCAATCAATCCTCAGCCAGAATTGTGTACTTTTCCTTGATCGAGTCCCATTTGAGATATGGAATTGCCTTTTGGGGCTTATGTAGTCAGCAACTACTAAATTCAGTATTCGTTTTGCAAAAAAGGGCTGTCAGGTACATTTGTAAGGCAAAATCACAAGATCTCTGCAAACCACTTTTCATCAGTCAGAAAATTCTAACTTTACGTTGTATGTTCCTTTTGGAAACCGTGTGTCTAATACACAAAAAGTATTCAAATACAGCAGTAAATAATGACAGACGATACCATACAAGAGGAAGTCGGGATCTACCCCTGCCAATACCAAAATTAGCAATTACAACATTTTCTTTGATATATGAGAGCAAAAAAATATATAACTACCTCCCAATGTACTACAGGGAAATAACAAATTTAAAAAAGTTCAGGAAATCAGTTAAAGAGGTATTTCTGCAGAAAGCCTACTATGACTTGAAGAAATATTACACTGATGAA